CAGGGGCAGGTCTGGAGGGTTCACAGGCATAGAGTGTTGTGGTGAACTGGGATGTTTGGATGCTGTCGCCCCCCCACTCTCACGCGTTCACTCAGGTTTGTCGACGGTGGAGTGGCTGGCTGCTTTATGTCCCAGGGTGCCCTCATGTCTGTGTTAGCTTCTGGCTCTCCCTTTTAGTTATGCTGTCATAGCTAGTCTTCCCGGAGTCCCTGCTTGCACTCTGCATGGAAAGTACATTGTCCTTAACCATTAGAGGACAAAAGCTTACCTAACAATCTCTCCCTCTCTCTCCATCTCTCTCTCTCCCTCACTCTCTGTCGAGCTACACATGCTACTTCTGAGATGCCAGTGATCCTGACCCCTTCTGCTCCCCAGACCTGCCTGACCCATCCTGATGCCCTACTTCTGATTGGAGTTCTCATCGGTTGAGTTCGCTCGCTGCTGCTGGGGGTGGCCCCATATGGACGGCCTGAAGAACCATTTGGATTGCTGGGGATAGTGCCACCTGGGGCACCTGGGGCAGTTGCCACGAGCACCTTCGTACTCAGGACTCCATCAGTGGACAGTGGATAGATTTTAACCAACTGAACTTCTTGCAAAAACTGATGAATTTACTGGTTGCACAATTGCACTATTTGTCCATATAGTACACAATAATAGAAGGGATTTATTTATAATTGCACTATCCATTGCACCCATATGAGGATGGGTTCCCTTTTGAGCCTGGTTCCTCTCAAGGTTTGTTACTCATATTGTCTCAGGGAGTTTTTCCTTGCCACCGTCACCTCTGGCTTGCTCATTAGGGATAAATTCACATATTTACAATATATTTTTTGTGAATCCATTTATTTCTGTAAAGCTGCTTTGTGACAATGTCCATTGTTAAAAGCGCTATACAAATAAAATTGAATTGAATTGAATTGGCATAATGTTGACCAAGTTTGGTGACAATCACATGAATCCCCTAGGAGGACTATTTAAAAGTGTATATACTGAGTATATACTGATATATGCACGAAGTTTATGTACCATGTAAAAGGAGGCGCTGCAGGGCCACGCCCCCCACCATCACCACGCCCATGTGCTACCCTTTGCCCGGGCCTAATGGCTGACAACTCTGACGTGTCTGCCAAATTTCATGAGTTTCTGAGCATGTTAAGGGCCCCAAAAGCCCCTGAAACCATGAAAAATAAAAATAAAAATAATATTCCTTAGAAAAACAATAGGGCCCTGCACACTTTCAGTGCTTGGGCCCTAACAATAATAATAATAATAATAATAATAATAATAATAATAATAATAATAATAATGGCACACACACTCACAAGAGGGGGAGGCATTGACAGAAGGGATGTAAAACAGGGCACAGTCACACACACTGAACACTTCCCTTTAATACAGTATTTTAATCAAGTTGACATTGTCTGTCTTTTTTTTATTACATTAATTTAAATAATCTCAGTACTGTTACCAAAAAAGCACTAGCACTTCATTATATAGCCTACTATAATAGGCATGCAACATTCTAGAACACTAAAAACCAACCAGTAGGAACAATTAAAATAACAGTCGGTTCTCAGTCGCTCACCAGGTTTGGCCAAACCGGCTGGGTTGACATCTGGCCAAGTCCCTATTCTGACTTTTTGCCTGCAGAGCCACATCGCGACTTTGCGCCAGCTTCGTGCCAGCACTACTTGACTATCTGGGTTTTTCCTGAAGGGGACATCAAAAGGATACCACTGAATGACAGCAAAGTTCTGAGTTCTATTGGATAAGTCCCAAATTACTTTACAGTTAGCCTTTCCCATGCTAAACAGTCTTGCCAGACTTCATCCACCTTTACTAAATCATGCCAGCTAAAGAAAAGAAAGCCAAAGATTTGTTGTCGACTGAAAATAAATCATGCCAGCTAAAGAAAAGAAAGCCAAAGATTTGTTGTCGACTGAAAATAAGAAAATTAAAATAACAATGAACATGACTATGCTGTGGTGATGGAGGTGATGGAAGCAGGTAGTAAGCAACTCTTGATACCGATACTCCACTGGTTACTCTCAGTAAGGTTCATACCACGGAAAAAGTTCATCCAGAGCAGGAAGATGACAAGGTTTCCAATGCTGTCATTTTGAAAGCTATCCACCCACTCAGCAAGCGATTTGATAAGCAAGAAGAAAAGCTAGAAGAACAAAATAAAACAAAACTGTAACATAATCTGAGAGATCAAGGGAGAATTGAAAACAAAATGTGGCTGAGCTGAACTTGCAAGTCTCAAAACTCAGTGAAGAAAACAAAGAGCTAAGAGTGAGGTCTGCATAATATAAATACTACAAAAGGTGTTGGAACCTACACATAAAAGGCTGGAAAGAAAAACAAAATGAACAAAATGAAGGCACTAGAAGGGAGGTAATCAGTGTGCTCTCCAAGGTGGCTCCAGGTGTACCATGTACCATGGAAGAGGCTGTAGGTCCAATTTATCAAATTGGTATAAATAAATAAATAAATAAATAAATAAAAATCTGTTTCTTTCTAAATTGTCCAGCTCTGGTAAGCTGTGAGTTTCCAGCTAGTTCATGTTCTCATTAAAGTCACAATTATCTTTTGGTTCTTTGAACACAAGAGGACTTAACTACAGTGTAAACATAAAGGTAGTTTTTTTTGTTTTGTAAAGGGCAAAAGGCACATTCTTTTTTTTTTCTTTTTTTTTTGCAAGAAACTTACTCAAATGAAGAATACGGTGCTTTTTGGAAAAATGCAATGGGAATATGCTATTCTGTTCAGTCATGGCTCAAACCATTCAGCAGGGATCACTATATGCGACCAGGTATTAATATTTTAATATTAAATATTATAATATTTAATTAATGTTATTTTATAAATAATATTTAATATTATTTATAAATATTATTTATTATAATATTTATTTAATATTATAATATTTTAATAGGTATTAATATTTGTCCAGGTAAAGTTGTCACCTATAAGAGTGACATAAAAAGACATTGGCTAAGTTTACATGGACATCAAATACCATTTAAGGTCTATATTTAGGTTGCAGCCATATTCCAAATACAAAGTTTATATGCATACAGGCATCGGAATATTCCTGTGTACATGGTTGTTGTGAGTATGAGTTGTCAGTCCTAAACACTTAGCCTACAGCTAAGCATCTGTTACCACCCACAATTCCTTGTGGACATAGCATGTTCATATATCTCCTTTCTGAATAAGGTGTTTACATGCAACAAATTTCTGATTAAAACAGGCATATTCCAGGGGTGGGAACTGGAATTGGGGAATCATAATATTGTCTTAATCTTAATCAGGCAATCGGATTGCGGCATTTACATGACTCAGTACTAATCATAATATTGCCAAATTCTGATTAATATCGGAATATTGATGTACATGTAAATGTAGCCTCTGTTGTACAGCAGTGATAAATGTATAAGGCATATTTTTAATTTTGGTGAATGTTTATGGGTATAGCAACAGGGGTCAAAAGAAGTTACTGTTAACAAATATCACTGATGTCATTAAGCTTCTTAAAGCAAAATATTTAACAGAATTTTTTTGGTTAAGAAGAAAGAAGAAAGAAAGAAAGTGAAGTGATCTGTAGCCAAGTATGGTGACCCATATTTGGAATTTGTGCTCTGCATTTAACCCACCCAAGTGCACACACACACACACCCCCAGAGCAGTGGGCAGCCTTTTTTTTTTTTTTTTTTTTTTTTTTGCAGCGCCTGGGGAGCAGTTGGGGGGTTCAGTGCCTTGCCCAAGGGTCTCACCTCAGTTGTGGTATTGAGGGTGGAAGTGAGCACTGGTCATTCACTCCCCCCACCTACAATCCCTGCTGGACCTGAGACTCGAACCCAAGACCTTCAGGTTACAAGTCAGGCTCTCTAACCATTAGGCCATGACTGCCCCCATGGAGGAGAGTTTAACATAACTCCTGACAACTGACTGGACAGGTGCCCATCTCATTATATTGATCACCATTTCAATATGATGTTACATGATTTTTGCCAGTTAAATGCATTCATAGATATCTGGAGAGTAAAACATCCCAAAGATAGACATTGCTCATGGATTAATCTTTTGGCTCTTGTAGATCTACAATAGATTATTGGCTTGCAGCTAAAGAATGATTTAAATTTGCATTTGATGTAACCATCTCTGAAGCTCCGTTGACACCATTGTCTTATTTCTTTATTGCTGAAACCAGTAACCCAGGCTACATGGAAAAAAGACTATTGGAAATTATTAAATTCAGAACTTTTAAAAGATAAAGAGTACTGCAGAAAAATAAGAATCTTACTTGATAAAATTAAAGATGACAGCAGTTAACTACCTATGGGAATAAATGGGAATATTTCAAATCTAAAATAAGGGAATTTTCAATAGAGTTTAGTAGAAGAAAGAGTAAAAAACAAAATCAGTTGGTGATGACATTAATTCAAGAAATAAATGGTTGTTGTAGGGGTGTGTAGACAGGGTAGGTGGGGGATAAAAAAAATTGTGATATATAATAATAGCAATGGTATATAGTTCATAAAAACATTTAGTGCAGATTGCTTGTTACTGGCAGGTCAGCAATCAACTGAATGCTGCCTGGCCAGCCTGGTTAATAACAGAAATTGCCAGTGGAAAGAAGCTGTTTCAATGGCATGCAATTTTTGTTATCAGGGAGCAGAATCGCTTCTCCTGAAGGTAGTTTTTGGAATAGGTAATTAGCAGGGTGGGAGGTGTCACTGATGATTTTTCCTGCTTGCCTCTTTGTTCTGGCAATGTACAGGTCTTCAAGTGATGACAGACTGCAGCAGATTTTCTCAGCGGTCTCGATAGTCCTCTTTTCTCTGGAGGAGGCTGCACCAAACCAGATAGTGATGGCAGACGTAAGGATGCTTTCTATAGTGGCAGTATAGAATTGCACCAGTATAGCCAGGGGTAGATGGAACTTTGCCAACTGCCATAAGAAATACATCCTTTGCTGAGCTTTCTTATTGAAGGATGATTTATGGATCTCCCATTTGAGATCCTGTGTGATTGTAGTTCCCAGAAACTTGAACAAAATGACAGTGCTCACTGATGAATTATTAAGGATGAGCGAGGAGGGGGAAGATGTACGTTTCCTGAAGTCGATGTGCATCTCTGTGGTTTTAAGAGCGTTGAGCTTGAGGTTGTTCGTGGCTACACCAGAAGGCTAGTTGTTGAGCCTCCTGGTGGTACTTTGACTCGTCACCGTTGGTGATGAGACCAATCACAGTAATGTCATCTGCAAATTTAGAGTGATTATAAGAGGGGTGAGAGGACACAGCCTTGATTACCTTTGCCATAGCTGTTTGTAGATTGCCTGACCTTTACCTATGTACTGTTTACGAGTTCACTTTTTGGATTTGTCTGCCTGCTTCTTTAATAACAGCCAATAACAACTGCAATTAAGTCCGTCTCTACTTGCCCTACATGACAGAAACACAGTCAGGGTTTTTTAAAAGTAGATGAATACATTACAACATCAGACTTATTCTAGACCTCCTGGAATATAGACATTTAGTTGAAGATGAAGGATTTATTTTATATTTATTTTATATACTCACACCTTCCACTTTATTAGGAACATCTGCACCCGTACATCTGCACATTCATGCAGTTGTCTAATCAGCCAATCATGTGGCAGCAGCACAATGTTTAAAATCATGCAGATGCAGGTCAGGAGCTTCAGTTAATGTTCACATCAAACATCAAAATGGGGGAAAAATTGTGATTTCTGTGACTTTAACAGTGGCATAGTTGTTTGTACCAGATGGGCTGGTTTGAGTATTCCCAAAACTGCTGATCTCCTGGGTCTCCTGGAGAATGGTGCAAAAAACAAAAAAAACATCCTGTGTGTGGAGGGTCTGCAGGCTGAAATACCTTGATCATGAGAGAAATCAGAGGAGAATGACCAGACTTGTCTGAGCTGACAGGAAGTCTATAGTAACTCAAATAAGCACTTTTTACAACTGTGGTGAGCAGAAAAGCACAATAGAATGCACAACACATCAAATCTTGATGTGGATGGGCTACAACAGCAGAAGACCACATCAGGTTCCACTCCTGTCAGCCAAGAGCAAGAATCTGAGGCTATCATGGGCACAGACTCACCGAAACTGAACAGTTGACTGGAAAAAGACCAGACAGTTTGTGTGAGCCTGTAACTATGACATATGTCAAGGAGATCCAGCTATTCCATATTTGTTCATTCTAGTAGCTGAATTATCAGCAATTTATGTGAAACACAATAAGAAGATGAAACACTTGAATGTGATGGGTAATGAATTAGGTATAGGTCAGCTCACGGATGATACAACCCTTTTTCTGAAAATGCAGATTAGATCCCTGTTGCAATAAAATGGTGTCTTGCTTTTCTGAAGTGTCTGGGTTAGATTTAAATTTAACGAAGTGTGCGCTGATGGCAATACATAATCATCCAGAAGTATCATTATGTAATATACCAGTTAAAAATGTAATAAAAATGTTTAGAATCACAATAATGAAGGATCTATATTTAAGAGGAAAGGTTAACAGTGACAATAATTTGATGAAAAGTCAATCAGTATCGAACATTTGGCTACAAAGAGACGTTTCCATTTTTAGAAGTATTCTTCTACACAAAACAGAAGCACCAATCAAGAAGTGTCTATCCAGCATACAGTACTCATTAAGTATATCTGAGAAAATGGTTTAGAAAATTAATCAAAATTATTATAATTTCATCTGGAAAAACAAACAGCATTATATTAGGAAGGGTGATATAGTTAAATCGTTAGTGAATTACTTTACACTTCTGTTGTACCAAGATTGTTCAGTTTGTCAATTTATGCTATTCATCTTTACAAAAGAAGAAACAGTCAAAATTTGTCTTACCCAAAGTTAAGGAAGTGCATTTTAAAATTATTAATGACATATATCCATGCAGTGAGGCCTTAAAACAAAGATTTAATCTAGATCTTAATGCTTGCACCTTCTGTGAACTAGATATAGGATCATTAGAAAGATCTTTATCTTTGTTTAAAGACAAAATACAAACTACCTGACTTGGAATATAAATTTCATAAAATATGGATTTTTTATTCAAAATTCTAAGACTTGTTTAGTAATATAATCTTGGCTAAATTTATATACATAAATGTAGAATGTCCAAAAACTCTCCCAATTTCTTAGCATTCAAAAATGATTTGGTTTTTTATCAAATCCTTAAAGTGTATGTGTGGTAAAAATGCCCTTAAATTGTGTTTATTATTGCAAGTGTACTTTGAAAATAATGCCTTGCAGTTTTCTTTTATTTATATTTTTATCTATTATTTTGTAACAAATCTCAACGTTGGGCAAGGAGGAGGCGGGAACCGAGTGAACTTAAACATAATGTTTAATCTTATACATAACATAAACATAACATAAAACACGCATGCATCTCTCTTTCCCCGGCGTCTCCAGCTGCTCCTTTATCCCTCTCTCCCACTGATTAGCCAACTCAGTGCCAGGCATGTGTCCTCACAGCCTGGCCCCTCCCTCCTGCTTGTCACATATTTATTATTATTATTATTTTCACTTGTTCTTTTTTTCGTTTCTCTTTCTCAAGTTTTATTTTTGCATTGCATATATTTGTATCTTCTGGTTGCTCTGTGTCCTTAATATCCTTCTGTAAGAATTCTAAAGAATTGTAAATGCTTTTTCATCCATCTGTTTTCTGTACCACTTATCCTACACAGGGTCATGGGGAGCCTGTAGCTATCCCAGGGGACTCAGGTCACATGGCAGGGGACACCAACCCATCACAGGGCACAATTGTGCACACACACTCACACACCCATTACGGACAATTTAGAGATGCCATTCAGCCTACAACGCATGTCTTTGGACTGGGAAAGGAAACTAGAGTACCCAGAGGAAACCCCCTCAAGTTCCCACGAGTCACAACATGCAAAAAATACAGTGTAAGTTTATTTCGAAATGCCACAAAATGTGCTGTAATGTCATAAAATTACACACATGTGCGGTACAAATCAGGTAGCATCATAAAGCGTAGTCAAATGTGTGCGCATGAGCGTTGCAGATTGAACAAGGGACGCGGATTTCTTAACCACAGCCTTCTTCAAGGAACGTGAGTAGAGTAGTGACCGGTCCAACTAATGAGCTGAACCAAATGCATGATGGAACTGTTATGTAACCAATGACGTGATTTACTTCCGTGTCAGAGATTATCATGGTTTCCACATTGACCTCACGTCAACATCAACAAGCTGATTTAACTGAGAACACAGATATGTGTGTTAAACGGGGATTTGGCCAAACCTTTCCTGTGTTCTCTGAGCTCTGTGTGGTCAGCAGAGAAAGGAGGCAATCTGTTTGAACTAATTAATTGACTTTGATATTGGATTACTGACTGTGGACTTGGTGCCTGGTAGGTCAATTGAGGAGTAGAGTGTAGGAGTGTCGGCTGATGGCCTGGATAGGCCTGGTAGCGATACTCTTTCACTACACCCTATTGACTGCTGTACCAACAAACTCTGACAGGATGGCATGGAGGGAGTCAGACGTTGACAACAACAATATGGAGTTTAGGGAGCAAGAAGGAAACTGTAGTGATGAGTGGAGGGAAAGTGAGTGGGAGGATGTGATGAGAGGGCGTAGATCCATGAAGGCATCTAGACGTAAGAGAAAGAAAAAGGACATAGATAGCCCAGGTGGAAAGGACAGTGAGGGAAGAGAAGATGAGGAAAAGATCCGAAAACAAGACTGCTTAATGTGGTGGTACAATTTGAGGGAGGGGGAGTAAAGAGAGTCGATCCACTAAAGCTAACAAGAATCATTAAAGGACAAGCTGGAGAAGTGAAGTATGTGAGAGTTTTGGGAGAGGGGAGCTTGCTTATAGGCTGTAATAC